ACTGGCTTTATGGGTCACGCGGTTTTAAAAACAGATTAAAAAAAGATAATTTTATAACTCATAATGAGTAAAAACTCATAAAAACGTAGCTGATAGTGTGAGATGCATGTTTGGGGGGAACTGAGGTTCTAGGCAATTTTCCTTTTGAACATAAAAGGAAAAAATAATATGTTTGAAAATATTGTCTGTTACGGGGATACATCTATTATATCTAAACGTAAGTGGTCATGACAGTGAGGTGCTCTCTCCCCTCTTCCTTTAAACCTGGGCACCTCCTGTCGTTCAAGAAACCCAACCATTTTTAAAAATGCAGCATAATCTGTGGGACAGATTACGAAAAGCTCATCCTTCGTGAAGGCAGCACCCTAGGCATCTCGGGAGGGAGGGAGGCAGCTCCCCGAGGAGGTGCAAGCTGACCCAGGGGGGACACACTGCTTTTCAGGTGCCGGTGCTCAGAGTTGTCTCCATCCCCATGACCATCCGTTCTGATGCAGCCCCTGGTGACGCAGGAATGGCCCTACGTCCTCCCTCGATGTCCTGAGTGGCACATCGCAGAGCAGGCGCAGCGCGGCAGCACTGCCCACCCGCTGTCTCAGGTAAGAGCTGGCCCTGGGAGCCTTTCTCGGGGCAGCTTTTTGCAGTGGTTGCAAATGTCTGGAGCAAACCAGGACCTCTGTTCCCAGTGGCAGGGGAAGGCGGTCGGGTCCCCGTCAGCGTGTGCTTAATGAGAGTGTTAGCTCTCCTCGAGCGTTTTGGCTGCAAAGTGTTTCCCAAAGTAGAGCAAGAGAGACAACCTGCAGAGCTGGATTTCAAGCTGCTTTCAAAATAAAGAGCAAGAGGCCACTGTTAACAGCTCTTGTGTATTCAGTTGGGTTTACTTTTTTTCCTGGAAACTTGGAAGAATGTCAGTTTTTGCTAAAAATGTAGATTTCTAGTCTTCCTGATTGCAGAGAAGAGCTTGGAAATAAACCCCTGGCAAATGCTGTCAGGCAGAGGAGGAGCCTGACCTGTTTCCAGTCTAGTTATCTTGGGGAACGGAGAGTGGGTGCTCACACTGCTGGTCTCCCTCCTCCTTTCCCCGGGGTCTCTGAGCCCGTAGGCCAGGCTCCTGGCCAAAGCTGGGCAGAGAGGTGAAGGTCTCCGGGATGCCTGGGTTAATGGCACGGCAGAGCGGAGAACAGGAAGGTGCGCTGGCGACTGCCTGCAAAGCTGCCTGTGCTCTGCATCGAGCTGTCACTGGTGTAGCACATCGTCCTGGGTCACCCAGGACAGCAAGGCTGGGGAAACACCTCCGCTCTGCTAGAGCACGGCTTCCCCTTTGCTGTAGCTGTTGGCCCCGGATCACCTCTCACCTGGCAACAGGCTGATGGACAGTGCCAAAGTTTTCCTTTGTGAAAGTGTTCCCAGGACGAAGGAAATCCCTGGCTCTGCCTTTTTGTTTTTCATTGTGCTTCACACCTGAAGAGCAAAGGCTGAGCCTGGGGCTTCCTTGCCCTTTCCCAAGCCCCTGCACGACTTGCCATCAGCCTGAATCCATCCTGCCCCAGAGAGCAGGGGTCTGCAGGAGAAAGGCAGAGCTGTCTCTGGAGTGGCTCCAGCATGCAAGGGCAGGCTTGCAGCTGGGGCAGGCTCTTGGTAGCTGAGTCAGGGCTTTTTGGCCCTGGAGTGGCTGTTGGGTCGTTGCTACTGGGCCAGCGCATGAACAGCCCGGCAGTTGAAGCGAGGAAGGAGAGGGATAGAGGAGAGGGAGGGAACAAGGTGAGCATGCAACTGCCCTCCTGAGCTACCTGAGCAGCCCACGCCTCTGTGAGGAGGTCAGAGCCCTGTGTGGTCTGCAGGGAGTGGGGAGGGGAGCTGGGGCAGGATGTCCCATGGGACCTCGGAGTCACAAGACATCACACAGGGAAGGTGCAGCATCCTCAGCTCGGGTCAGACTCACGGCAAGTTGCAGCCAGTCCCTGCCTGAGCCTGGCTGTTTGCTGTGTGGGCATCAGCGCTGGGTGCCACTCACCAGCTGACTGCCCACCTCGGTCAAAGGGTCTGCCATGCCCTCCTTCTCCCAGCTGTAGGTGTTGCCACCCAGGAAACAGCTTTCCTCTCTCATCCCTGCTTTGTCCTGAAAGCTCCTGTCAGGCTGCAGACCACCCATTCTTAGCTGTGTCCCGGCCTTGCTGAAATTCCCTCTTCCAGTTTGGGAGCTGGTCCTGCATCTGCTGGGCCTGGGAGGTGGTGGGGAGAGGAGGCTGGCAGTGCTGGTCCCAGTGGGAGAGACAGCAGCAGTCAGATGTGCAGGCAGGGACGGAGGGGAAGAGAGAGATACAGGGAGCTTTTCATTCCCTCTCTGTAGGTGGAGGAGAGCATGGAAACAATGCTGGGCAGCAGGACTCTGAGGGGGGGGGACAAGGAGCCAGGCTGGAGCCTTCTGGCAAAAACAAACTATTTGCACCCAGTCCAGGTGGGCAGGAACATCTGTGCTGGCACCCAGCACTGGGCTGGGGCACATGGGGGGCAAGGAGGGCATCTTTGGCTTCTTGGGGGTTAGGTCTCATGGACCTGACGGTTGACTTTCCGGGTAACCAAAGCTTGCTGAGACCATTCCCTGGGGAAATCTCTTCCCTGACAAACACCCCTGTCTGCCCTGCATGTGCTGCAGCATCTGGGAGCAAGGTCTCTGCTGGTCAGCCCATCCCATCCCATCCCACCACCACCTTTGCCATGCCCTGGCAGAGGTGGATCTAGTGATCCCTCGTGCCCAGAGCAATCCCTCTGCCCACGGCCAACTTCCCGCAAGGGGTTTTCCCACGCTGGGGTGCCCTCTTTGTATTTTGCGGGCAGCCACGATAGCTCCACAGGGTTAAGGCAGGTTGGAGGCAGCTGGAATGCCACCGGACAAAGCTGGGATTCAGCCTGGCTGCGAGGCACTGCCGCCTCCCTCCAGATTCCTGGGGGGTCAGTGGTCAGGGCGGCCCCGCTCTGCTCAGCACACCACACTTGCCCGCTTCCCTGCCGGGTGCTGCCTGGCGGCACCCGGAGGGATGGGAGGCGATGCCCGCTCCGCCAGCGAGGCTGAGCTGCCCTGCGATGGATCTTCGGCTGAGCACAGGTAGATGCCTTCTCCAGAGCCTGCCTGAGCATTCCACGCCTGGAAATAAAGCGGTTCCAGGGTGGAGGGGGGTGCGGATCCAAGCTGGGGCTCTGGGGGAGGGATGTTTACGGGATGCTCAGAGGAAAAGCGCTGCTTTTCCCCCTCTGCTCACTTGCAGGGTTTCGTCCTGGGCGAGCGGGTGCTCGATGCCCGGCCACTGCTTGGCCACCACTGCTGGCTCATCTACAGGGCATGGCCTGCGAGTTGCAGGCTTGGTGGGTTTCTTAAACAAGGCTGGGAGGGCTGTGTTGTCTGCTGAGCTGTGCTGCAGTTGCAAGCAGGAAGGGCTGATCCCCTCCTTTGTTATCCCCTGGGATAGAGGGGAGGGCTGGCGTGTTCCCTGGTAGCACGGTAGGGCTAACCCGCTTCATTGTCATGAGGATTTCCACATGCTGAGTATTGATTTTTCTACGTGCAAGCAACAGTTTTAGCTTGAGTGGTTTATTATTCATGGCCCCAAGAATCCTGTGAACTCTGTGGGTGATAGTTTTCTCTGCTTTCTTGATGCTCCTGGAGCAGCAGGATGGGGAGGCAGAGAAGAGCCTGGTGTTAGATGGTTTTTAGATGAAGCAAACTTAGCACCAATCTTGGTGATCAGATCACTTGATTTCTCCCTGAGAACTGGTATGGAGGGGGAATTCTTTCAGCTCTATGGCCAAATTCCTTGTCTGGTGGTTTCCTCCTGCCTGTTGTTCTCCTTGGCTTGCCTGGATCTGTCCCCTGGACTCCTCTGGAAGCCCTTGGGCAGGACAAGTGACAAGTATCTGCACATTGCCCTTGGAAAGGCTGCTGCTTTCCCCTAAAGGCAGCTGCCCTTCTCTGGCAGAGGGGTGCCTGTTGTATGTGCTGTTTAGAAAGTGGTAATGCAGTTAATTATGGTTGATTAATCACCTGGGGATAATTATCCCAAACGAGCTCTAATATCAAAGTAGCATTAGATTGAAATGCTGCCATTTCCCCAACAAAGCGCGATGTCTCACTTGTGGAAATGCAGTGTGTCCTTGTGTTTTTTGGAGAGGAGATCCCCTCTCACTCACTGAGTCCTATGTGAGATGCCTCCAGTCCTGCTTGTGTATGTTGCTGTTGCTGGCAAACGCCGTGATGTCTTCTCTGCCATCACGAGCAGGAGCATGTTACAGTGCTAAAGGCTTAGGAAAGGACTCCGTCCCTCATCTGCCAAGGATTTGTGGTCCAAGGATTATTATCTGGTTTTCCAGGCTGAGTGGCGTGGTGCAAAGTGTGCTTCCTTTGTGTGGCTGGGTTAGGATTTGCTGTCATCTGCTCCACGGCCTCTCAGAGCATCCTTCCCACCACTGCTCATTCTGGAGAGGTGCGGAGGAGAAGCAGCATCTCAGATTTGCTGTGCAGGCACGGAATATCCTTGTGCTTCTGTAGAGGAGCAGGTGGCAGCGCCCAGTACTGGGGAAGGCATAAAGGAGGTTGGCAACCCTTGTCCCTAGGAACAACAAGACCTTGGTTCTTGCTTCTTCTTGAAGCACAGCAGCTCTGTATGGCGTGGAAAGACATCACTGTTAGCCCACCCAACTCTATTTAAAGGTAGCAGAGGGTTAAGTTCATTGCTGGGTAACTGAGGAGCAGAGTTCCTGCAGAGCAGGAGATGCACAGTAAGTCCTTCCTTCAACCTTTGCTCTTGGTGCTGCTGGAGCTGGCACAGCATCCTTCCTCCAGGCGTGGCCACGGGCTTCCCTGGAGCTGCTAGCAGACCCCTCCAGGAGCAGGGCAGCCCCCTCGCAAGGTGAAAAGCCAGGCAGGGTCACGACCGAGCTGAGTAGATGTCCCCAGGCAAGTGCTGTAAGCACCCGGCAGCGATCTCTGGATGCAGCGTGGTTCTGTTTCTGCCCAGGTTGAAGCCTCGCAGGATGGTGCAGGACCTTCGTGTGTGAACCCCCGGGCTCTGAGCGGTGCTGCCAGGCCCCAGGCCCCTCTGGAGATGAATCTTTGCTGGAACGAGATCAAAAAGAAATCCCACAGCCTTCGGTAAGAAGGTCCCTGCCTGGAGTAAGCCCTGGGCCTGGCCTGCCCTTCCAGCCTTGCCTGCTGCCTGTGCTTGTCAGGAGGTTTTTGAACTTGTTCGCTTGATGAGCCACATGAATTCACGGTGACCTTGGCTCCTTTTGCCCTCTTGTCCACAGAGTCTTTCTCCCTACGCTGATAAGCATCCCCTCCATTTCCACCCATCCCATCCCCCTTTTCCTCCTCTCCTTCACTCCTGCTTGCTTTCTGCTGCTCTCTACACCCCCACCATCCCACTTGTCTCTTTTTACCCCATGTCCTTGCCACCACCTCCTCTGCACTTATCCCTTTGCTGGGAGCCTTCTGCACCATGTGGGAGGTACACGCCTTCCAAACCATCAGAGGTTGCAGCCCCACGGTTGGCATGACATGATGGAGAGCTTAACTGGGGCGTGTTAATTGTCTCCTGCCTTAATGCAAAGCTCCTGGAAGCTGCCCAGTCATGTCAATGCTGAGCCAAGTCCCCCACGCTAGCCAGAGCACAGACCTGGCCCATGAGCAGAGTGGCTCTGGGCTCCAGGGTGATGAAATAACCTCAGTTTCCCTCCCCAGCGCCCCTGTGCTTCACCCCACCTGGCAGTGCAGTGTCTGTGGGTCATGTACAGCCTGTGCTGAGGGGTGCTGGAGGCACTGGTGGGATCCTGGGGGTGCCTGGGGGTCAGCACGCCCACTGCGGTGCTGTGCCTCCCCTCCCTGGGGACCCTGCTCCCCTCCTGTCCGTCTGACCACCATCCCGCTGTCCTCGCTCTCCTGCCAGGGCTCGGCTGGAGGCCTTTTCTGACCACAGCGGGAAGCTGCAGGTGCCTCTCCAGGAGATCATAGACTGGCTGGGGCAGAAGGATGAGGAGCTCTCAGCACAGCTGCCCCTGCGGGGCGATGTCCTCCTGGTGCAGCAGGAAAAGGAGACGCACGCGGTATGTTCCCTCGCACCTCTCCTGCTGCCTTCCACTGCTAGGAGAAGCTGCAGGTGGGCAGCCCTGCCTGGGACCCCTGCCCCCGTGTCACTGCCCATGCCCACAGCCTGGAAGTGCACCAGTCCTTGCCCATCTCTGTCTCTGCTTCCCGCAGAAAAGCAGTGCCTCAATCCCGCAGCAAATACCCATGGCACGCGACAGGCAGAGCCCATTTGGTTTTAGACACTAAATCTACATTACAGACCCATCATCTGCCGGTGCTGCAGCTGTAGTGGGACCCCATCCCTTCTCTCCCAGTTTCCTCCTTCTGTCCTACCTCTGCACCAGAGGGAATTGCCTCTGATGTGGGATCCTGGGGCCTGAGGAGGTTGGTTGGTTTAAAGATGACTCGGTGGTCAGGACACAAGTGATTCCTGCAGTGGCAGAGTATCAACGTACCTGAAACTGGGGTAAAGCCAGGCAGATCAGAGTTTCCTGCTTCCCTGATCAGAGCATTTCCTTCTCGCTGCCAGTGGCTGTTGGGCTTTAGTTGTTTTTACCTTGAAAACAACACTAAACTGTTGCTATCTGTCATCCTCACTGGAGCTAGCCACTTCCCTGGCAGAGAAATAGCTGATCCAGCAGACAGCATCAGTGGGGGGCTGCAGCGGGAGGGGAGGAGAGGATGTCCTAAACCAGCCTGCCTCCAAAGTCTGTCCTGGCAGATGTGCTACTCAGGGGCATCCTGCTCTTCCCCTCCCTGCTCCTCCAGCAGCTGGATCTGTTGCTGAACAGCTGCTGGAAGGACTGTTTGCATGACTGTGCTCTCGCTGCATGAGTGAGGGGTGTCTCCAAGCAGTGCCTGTGAAAACATCACCAGTGAAGCAGTTCCTCTTGCACAGCCCTGGCTCAACACACCCTTCTGGGCTCCCTGTTCTGCCTCCCGCTCCCAGCAAAGCTGCAGTCCAGACCCTGCAGGAGCCACCTTCTTGCAGGTGGTCATTCCTTCCCCAAACTGATAAAATATTTCTCCGTTAACTTCTGTGAGGTTTGGGCCCTGGAGTGAATAGCTCCCTGTGGCCTTTGGCAAGGGGGCAGCAGGGGGAGGATTCTCCAGCTCAGCTTGCTGTCTCATCTCTGTGCTCTGCTCTCCAGGCTTTCATGGAAGAAGTGAAGTCTCGGGGACCGTACATTTACTCTGTCCTGGAGTCAGCACAGGCTTTCCTTTCCCAGCACCCGTGTGAGGAATTAGAAGAACCAACTTCAGAAAGCAAAGGTCCGTGGAGCTCCCCTTTCTTTGTTCTCCCATCGCACAGCATGGCTCTTCCCGGGGCTGGAGCAGAGGTGGTTGGATGGTTGGTGTGGCACAAAGTGGCACGTGCCATCACACACCAGACTGTTTCCAGTCCTTTGGCCAAAGGTCAGACTGGCGTGGAGCGGTGCTTCTGCCCGGGGCCAAGGCAGAGGCTGCTGGTGCAGCCCGCGATGGGGTGCAGCCCGTGAGACACTACCCGATGTGCTATGGGGTGGGTTTTTAAAGGGCAGCAGGGCTTCTGCCTGTGGGGACAGAGAGCAGACAGAGGTCTGTGAGCAGGCTGGGTACCTAGAGGAGCTGGGGCAGACATGGATACTATTACCACTTGGTTTCCCACTTTCCAGCTTTCCCTAGATTTTTTTTACTTTCTTTTTCCCTGCCTTCCCTACATATCTTGCCTGCTCTCCTCTGGGCTGGGCTCACATTTTTGCACTCCGTTCCCCTTCTGCTTTGCCTTCACAGATGTCTCTCCCCGGCACCGGATCCAAAACATCAGCCGCTTTGTCTGGAAGCAGGCGAACGTGGCCAGTGAGCTGTGGGAGAAGCTCACGGCTCGGTGCGTGGACCAGCACCGGCACATCGAACGGACACTGGAGCAGCTGCTAGAGATCAAAGGGGCCATGGAGGAGCTCAGCATGACACTGGATCAGGCTGAAAGTGTGCGTGAAACCTGGGAACCCATTGGGGACCTCTTCATAGACTCCTTGCCAGAGCACATCCAGTCGACTAAGGTACGTCTGGCTCTGAGGAGGCTCCAGCTTTGGCCCCAAAGGTGGTAAGATGCTGCTTCCCAGGAGGGCAGTGCTGCTCCTCCTGACTTCTCAGTCCAAGGCAGCTGCCCCATTACTTGGGCTCTCAGAGGCCAGGTCCTCCCTCTGACAGTCCCCTAGCCCTGCCTGATTTGGCCTGCAGTGTCCTGAGCAATCGGCTGTGCCAAGCACCTTGGCATGGCACAGACCCTGTGCAGCATAGATGAGCCTCTGTCCATGTCCCACTTTTCAGGAGATTTGAGTAATCTCCAGCTTGTTTGGTTTGGTTTCACACACCCCCCCCCTCCTAATGTACCTGTCCTGGTTCAGGC